CCTGCAGGTGTGTTCACCGGCCAGCTTACGCTGTTTGAGCAGATTTGTGACAATTGCATGATTTCAGAACTGCGGCAACCATGCTTGTCTGCCGTTTGCTTTCCCGTGGCCATGCTCCTTCGACATTGGCCCGAGGATGGACTTGTTACACTTGTGCTCGCCAGCGCCGACACCCCATACATGTAACTCGTCTTACACAATGGTTTCGCCGTATGCTTGGCTGGTCTGTGCATCATCCTCTTCCACCTTCTCCTTCCCTTTCCTTCCCTTCTCCTTCGCCCTCTCCCCTTCCTCCTCCCCCTTCCTCTTTTCCATCTTCTCATGCTCCTCCCCCTCCTCCTCCTCCTTCCTCTTTTCCATCTTCTCATGCTCCTCCCCCTCCCCCTCCCCCTTCTTGTCCATCTTCCCCTCCTCTTTCTTCCCCCTCCTCTCCACTTTCCCCTTCTCCTCCTCCTCCTTCCCCTTCCCCTTCCTCTCCGACTCCCTCTCCCTCTCCCTCTCCCCCTCCCTCTCCTTCCTCTTTGCCAGCATGCTCTTCTTCTTTATCATCTCCCCCTTCTTCTTCTTCTTCTTCTTCTTCATTTGCCTCCTCTAGTTTGTCTTCCTCTTCCCCACGCTGGCTGAGATCGGCCCCTCCTTTATCTTCATTGTCCATATTGGGACGTCGGCAGGTTCGTTCATTCTCTCCTCCTCCGAGTTCCCCTTCCTCTCGACGTCGTGTTGATGCTAATCTGCCGGGTTCTTTGTCTTACTGACAGCCTGCACTGCCACGTCGACGGCGTTTGTCAGTCATGCGCCGACCCTGTCATATCAGACCTGGCTTTCCAACGGTGACCGATTCGGATCTGCGGGCAGGTCTACCAAATGCTTGTGGCTTGACAGCCACAAATGTCTGCCTACAGGCTTATCAGCGTCAATGTTATACTGCATCCCATTTTGTTACGATTGTTTATCAGCTTGACGCTGTTGAAAATCAGTTGTTTTATGACCATAATGGTCCACCTCCTGAGGGTAGTAACTATACTACCTCAGGAAGCTTTACTGTAAATGTCTTACAGTTAGCGTTYCACGGTCGCCACCTTCTTATGCATCATGTGACGCCCAGCAAGGACCTTAATGACCATCCTCATATTTCTGCCTGCATTTTGCACAGACCCGGCCATTATATGGCACTTATTCGTGCAGCTGCCCAGTGTGAACTGTGGGATGGTGGGACGATGATTCAGACTATTTTCAACATAAATGAATATTTGCATGCATTGCCGAATCATACTTTATTCTGGATTATTGACCGACTCTCATGCGAAACCTGTCGGGACAGGGATGTGGTGCTTCTTGGCTGTGGAATTCATCATCTATGCCATCACCATTATCAATCTATTTCGGCCGCCTTTGTCTGTGTCGAAGTGTGTCCAACATTTCCTCATTGTACACATCCCTATCACCCAGATATTCGTTCTCTTTTGTGCGCAAGGATGCTATCAGGACTGCATGATGCCGCACTGTGATGAACGTCCTGCTGTTTTTTTGACATGTGGACAGCATGTCCTTTGTCAGGACTGTTTTGATGGGATAGTCCGTGCTAGCCATCCTGCTGAATGCTGTGCTGGCGCAGCTCTCTTTGGGTATCCTTGTGAACATCTGTGTCATCCTCAGCGTGCCGGTCCTATCTGCCAGGGTAGGGACTCGTCTTCTTGATTGGTCAATAGGATCAAGCAGGTCAGCAGCAGCACTAATTGTAGGACAGAAAGCTTTCGACACTACCAACAAATGCAGAGTTGAAGAAAGAAGAAAGAATTAAAAAAAAAAAAAAAAAACAAATTGCTGAAGAAAAGAAAAAAGAAAACAAGAAAAAAGAAAAAAACATGTTGAACTTTGTTGCGACAGTGGTAATTGGTTTACCTGTGGGATGTGTCGTTTGCTTTGTTTGATTGATAGGCCTTCCTCTTCCCTCGTACTTTCTTTCTTTGATTGGATCCCTTTCTCTTTCTCTTGCCTCTGTGAGGTTTGGTTTCCTTCTCCTTTTCTTTACCTCTTTGCCTTTTGGCTGCATGCAAGTGGGTCCTTTTGACACATGTGGATGGGGGCAGCCAACACTCAACCTGTCATCCACGTGGCTGGCCTTGTACGTAAGAGGTGATGAACAGGCGGGGCTTTCCTTCCTTCCTTCCTTGCCTTTTTTTGTTTTGTCTTTATCCGCCTTTGCGCTCCGATTCACAGTGTGACAATATTATCGTTATAAAGAAGTGCCCGGTAAACCATAGGCAGAGAGGGAGAAGTCCATAATACTATATGACGATATATATATGGGTTCAGCCTCCTGATGAGTATGTGAAACTCTGATGAAACTGTTTGTCACAGGCCCTTGTTTGTTGTCCTCTTCTCCCTCTTCCTAACGTTTACGAGGCCGATATCGTCAAACAGAACTGCCCGGTAAACGTTAGGCAGAGAGGGAGAAGAGGACAACAAACGAGGGTTGTGACAAACAGTTTCGTCGAAGTTTCACCGACTCATATATATATGTATATATAGCAAACAGAGTTGCCCGGTAAACCGTAGGCAGAGAGGGAGAAGAGGACAACAAATGAGGGGCTGTGACAAACTTCGATGAAACTGTTTGTCACATGCCCTCGTTTGTTGTCCTCTTCTCCCTCTCTGCCTAACGTTTATTAGGCAGATATCGTCACAACCCTCGTTTGTTGTCCTCTTCTCCCTCTCTGCCTAAGGTTTACCGAGCAGTTCTGTTTGACGATATCTGCCTGATAAACGTCAGGCAGAGAGGGAGAAGAGGACAACAAACGAGGGCATGTGACAAACTCGATCTCTGCCTACGGTTTACCGGGCAACTCTGATTCACAATGTGACAATATATATATGAGTCGGTGAAACTTCGACGAAACTGTTTGTCACAACCCTCGTTTGTTGTCCTCTATTTTGATTTTGGTTAAGGTAGATTATCATTTACAGTGTAATCAGTGAGGGGACTCTGCAGACTGTTGAGGGTTCAGCCTCCTGATGAGTCGGTGAAACTCCGACAAAACAGTTTGTCACAGCCCCTCGTTTGTTGTCCTCTTCTCTCTCTCTGCCTACGGTTTACCGGGCAGTTCTGTTTGTGACGCGCGGTAAACCGTAGGCAAAGAGGGAGAAGAGGACAACAAACGAGGAGCTGTGCCAAACAGTTTCGTCGGAGTTTCACTGACTCATCCACCTGGGCGGCCTTGTACGCGCTTTGATATTCATGTGACGATATAAGTTCGGAGAGTTAATTGAGTTCCAGGTTCTCCAATGGATTGTGCAGCAATTATGCCTATATATATGGTATGATTTCAAAACTGCAGCAGCGATGCTCACAGGCTGCATGCTTTTTTGCGGGCACTCTCCAACAACGCTTGCGAAAGGATGGACTTCCTATATTTGGAAACGTCAACACAGGTACCCTGCCCACGTGACTCGCGTGTCCAGCTGGTTCCGCAGCATGCTTCGATGGTCTATTCATCACCCGCTTTCTCGGGTATCCACACACTGTCCTCGGACTACGCCTGTCACAACCCTTTCTTCAGACTCATCCACGTGGGCGGCCTTGGATGCAAGAGGTTTGGAATAGGGCGGCTTTGTAAGGAAGAAGATAAAAAAGCGAATTATTTTTTCTTGTTTTTTTTTTTTTTTTTTTTTTTTCCCTTTGCGCTTCGATATTCATGTGACAATATAAGTTCGGAGAGTTAATTGAGTTCCAGGTTCTCCAATGGAGTCTGCAGCAATTATGCCTGTATATATGGTATGATTTCAAAACTGCAGCAGCGATGCTCACACGCTGCATGCCTTTTTGCGGGCACTCTCCAACAACGCTTGCGAAAGGATGGACTTCCTATATTCGGAAACGTCAACACAGGTACCCTGCGCACGTGACTCGCGTGTCCAGCTGGTTCCGCAACATGCTTCGATGGTCTATTCATCACCCGCTTTCTCGGGTATCCACACACTGTCCTCGGACTACGCCTGTCACAACCCCTTCTTCATTATTGGCGCCTGTCACACCTATCACAGCCTCTTCTTCATTACCTGCGTCTACCGCACCTGCGTCCTCATCAGTCTTAGTAACCCCTTCCATGTCGTTTGTGACCCTGGCTGCACCTTTTCGGTTCGCAGCCTCTTCCTCATCGGCCTTAATTGCTTCTACGATTGATTCCGCGGGAGCAACTCGATCCGCAACTGCTGTGTCGCCCTTGGTCTCGGTGTGTTCCTCCATGGCATCTGGTGCCACCGCTGTGTGGACGAAGTGGTTTGTGGATTAGGAAGAGGGGTAACGGATGGAGACAAAACCAGGGGAGGTAGGAGAGGTGAAGACAGGGGTGGTAGAGTTGTCGGAAGGTCGGTAACAGACGGCGATAAAACCGGGGGAAATATAGGTGGTGAAGACGGGGGGGATGAAGTCAGGGGTGGTGGAGTGGCTGAAGCAGAGACAGGGGGGGCAGTCGTAGGTGAGATCCGAAGAGGGGACTCTGCAGGTGGTAACGTAGGCATGGTCACGGATGCCATGGAGGAACGCACCGAGACCAAGGGCGACAAAGCAGCTGTGGTGGTCACGGATGCCATGGAGGAACACACCGAGACCAAGGGGGAATCATGTTCTGCCCCTGCAGAAAGCCTACTTCGCTGTCCTAGACGCCGACTTTGACCTACTTCCCAACCTCAACTTACTCCCCTTTCCTCCATCTCTGTTCTTGGACGAAGAAGAATCCGTTCATTCTCCCCACCACGGCCCTCCCCAACATCCTGTCCTCATCTTTTGCTGCCCCAGGCATCCTTACCATGCCTGCAACGCTCTTCGACTATAGACCTTTCTGCAACGCGGCAAACACAAAACAGGAGGGATGATGGCGAGGGGCTATCCGAGGATGAACTTGGCAAGGGGACTGTAGGAGATTCTGTAGAAAATCCGCCTGACTGGCCTCCACCGAATCTGTGTGGCCTCGCTGCTACTAACATCTGCTTGCAAGCCTATCGTCGGGAACCATATACTCACTCTGATTTCTTGGCCATTGCTTTCAATCTTGATGCTCAGGAACGTGAGTTGTATGGCGATAACCCAACTCTGCATCCCCCACAGGATAGTAATTACACTCGACATGGGGGATTCAATGTCTCTGTTTTGGAGACTGCTTTGATAAGGCGCCGATTTGATATGCAGCGTGCCCCTTCGGAGTCTGTGTGGACGTCAATGCCTATATTCTACATGTTCCTGGCCACTACACCGCTCTTGTCCGTGCCTCTGGTTCTTGGGAATTATGGAATGGCAGTGCTATGGTGCAAACTATTACTGCCATCTGTGATCTCGTGCGTAATTACCCTAACCTGCAACTGTTCCAGGTCATTGACCCTATGGGTACCTCGTGTACTTCCATGCACGCCTCTACGCCTATCTCTGTGCCTGCCTCCGTACCTGTCTCTGTGCCTGTTTCTGTGTGTGTCTTCTTCCAGATTACTGACTCTATGGGTACCACGTGTACTTTAGTCCCCGCCTCTGCACCTGCCTCTGTGCCTGCCTCCACACTTGTCTCCATGCCCGTTTCTGTGTCTGTCTCCGTGCCTACCTCCATGTTTGCCACCGTGAGTGCTTTAGTCTTCATTCCCCCACATGTTGCACTAACACCTTGTGACCTCCTTCTTTGTGAGATCGCTGACACAGTTACAATTGGTTGTGGAAAGCATCGACTTTGTCGACATCACTACAACCATATAATTTTTCGGGCCCGCTGTCGGCAGGGATGCCACCTGTATCCGGATTGTGAACATCCTCTACATCCAGATGCAGTATGTCCCATCTGTGCCTGCGGGCGCTATAGTGAATGTGCACTTAACTGTGACGGTGAACGCCCCACAATCGTCATGGCCTGCAACCGGCATGCCCTCTGTCGTGCATGCTTCAGAAGTATGGTTAATGCTAGCCGCCCTGGCTCCTGCTGTGATGAAGTTGCTTACCTGAATGGTGTTCGTCCTGTACATCAGCGGGAGGGCTGCTACCATCGCCTGCATCCTTGTGACAGTTGTCCTATCTGTCCTGAGGGTCTTACTTAGACGTACCTTGCACGCTGACAGAAATGTGCAGGTGCGCTGAAAAGAGTGTACAAGAATGTGCAAAGGTGGGGAACCCTTCACTAAAACTGCAAAACTGTGAAGAATGCAGTAAAAGAACATAAGTTTGTGTCATCTTACTTTGTTTGTACCCTGCACCCTAACACCCTCAAAAGAAAAGTCGGAAGGCTAAAAATGAAGATGAAAAATGAAGAAGGAAGTGCAGGTGCGCTGAAAAGCGAACGTGGTAGACTCTTCACCAAAACTGCAAAACTGTGAAAGAAAGAAGAATGCAGTGAAAGAAAGAAGATGTTTGGGTCACTTATTTTTATTTTTTCTCCCTCTGCCTATCGGTTTTCCTTTTCTGCTCCTCTCTTCCTTGTGTTTAACACCTCTTCCTTCACTCTGCCTCTTTCCCATAGCGTGCAAGTGGGCTGTTATGGCATACGGGGATGGGGGCAGCTTGCACTCAACTTCATCAACGTGGCGAGCCTTGTACGTTAGAGGCATATAGTGGAGGAGGCGTTAAGAAGACTGAGAAACTGAATGATTTCAAAGTGTCTTTGTTTTTTATTTTTATCCTTTGATTCAGTGTAATTTTTTTTTGTAAAACACTGAAAGAAATAATAATACTGTGAAACAAAGAATAAGAGGACACTGTTTTGTGTCATTCTGGTTTGTCCGTCTCTTTGCGTGTCTGTCCTTTCATTTTTCTTTTCTTCGCTCATCTTATTTCTTCTTCTACTTCACCTGCTTATGCTCGTGTGCGCGCGAGCGAGCGAGCGAGCGAGGGAGCGAGAGAGAGAGAGAGAGAGAGAGAGAGAGAGAGAGAGAGAGAGAGAGAGAGAGAGAGAGAGAGAGAGAG